TGCAGAAAAATAAAAAACAATGTGGAGGAATGTTCCTAAGAAATATCCATTCAATGAAACTAAACCTACTGGAGAGAAATCTCCTTTTTTCTCATTTTCAGCACTATGAATAATTAATTATTCTAGCTTAAGTCACCTGGAAAATGGATTAATGTTGCACAGCATACTTGTAGCAAAATGGTAGTGGGGTTCTGATTAAAGGTGTAGAATTTAAGTTTACCTTAGTTTTCTAATTTCTGTGGACATTAATCTTTCTAAGAGAGACTGTTACATGACACAGCTTCAGTAAGAAAAAACAAACCAACAAACAAACCAACCCAGGGTTGGAGAGTTAGCTCAGTGCCTGCTTAGGCAAGTGCAGTGACCTGGTTCCATTTCCAGTACCACTGGGGGCCTGGCCCTAGCTCAGTCCTTTAAGCGGCTGCTTCCACAAAGCTGTCAGCCTCAGGTTGCTGGAGTTCGAACCTCATACCTCTCCAGCTGGCCAAAAGTGCCCTGAAGGCATTCGAGGAACAAAAAAAAAACAAACAAACAAACAAAAAAAAAGGCCTTATTCCATTTCCAGTACCACATGCTGTGTGGGCCCAGCACCCCCAGGCAAGGTGTACTCCCAGTGCTGGGGTGGCTGTAAACAGGAGGATCACTAGAGTCCAAGTTGTGTAGTGAGATCCTGTACCAAATATAGTAAAAAAAAAAAAAAAGAAGAAGAAGAAAGAAAGAAAAAAAAAAAAAGAAAAAAGAGAAAAACAAAACCAGCCATGTACTGTTGAGAACCACCTAAAGGAAATACAGTATTTTCCCAAAAGCTAGGTGCTTCAAACAATACCTTGAATGAGATAACCACTGAAAATTCAGGTAGGCCAGTAGAAAAATTTTGTCAGTTAAAACAAGTTATTCAGGAAAAGAAACAAAACATAGTGGTATAATCTCAGTACTCCAAGAGATTGAAACAGAGGATCTCAAGTTCATATCCGATCTCAGTAATTTAGTTACTTAAAATTTTTATAAATTTGAGAACTAGGGCTGTATCTCTGTGCAAAGACCCTGCGTTCAATGTCCATCATTACCAAAAAAAAAAAAAAAAAAAAAACCACACACCAAGAATAACACTGAAATCGAACCAAAAACCTCAGAATTTTTTCTTCTTCATTGTTTTGTTTCATCTTAATATTTTAAAAAGTAAATTACTTTTGTTTTACATCAGTAAAGTTGGTTGAGCTATATAATTTTTTTCTGTGGTTATACACAAAGCTAAATAGATTTATAAACTGGCAATTAACAGTTAATTTTCAAAAAAACTTTAAAGTTCATGATACTAAAAATTTCTTAACCAAGTAATCACAAACAATAATAGTATCCATATGTAACTTCAAGCTGGTATACAACATCTTACAACAGCTAAGGAAAGCACATCACTCTCTGAATATTCATATATAAATACACAAACTTTTTAAGTATTGTAGAGTGGCTCACCTATTCTTAAAGATTCATATACAAGGCCCTACACTTCCTATGTTACCCAAATAAAGTTTATTTTGGAAGTTGTCAATATAGGAAAAAAAAAAAAAAGGCTTTTATCAGGTACCTTTAAGATTTTCTTCTCATCTCTGTAATTAGTCCGTAACATTTCTAGAGATCACTGGAGTACAACAGTTGCACTTCATTGTAGTTTGATTGTACTGAAATTATCAACAATGAGACTTCTATTTATGATTCCTTGTATCTTAAAGCACCTAGCCATGTAGCAAATGTAATATTCTCAATAAAATCATTCAGCTTCATAAAAGAAGTGAAGTTCACAAATTAGTACTTTTTACTAAATGTCAAGTGAAATCAGCATTTAAGAAATTGAGCTACAAAGGTAGCAGGAGAATATGTTTAGAAACATACATAAACAATAACTTTGTAACAATTTCCAAATTTAGTTTAGTAGAGGTTTCACTTATTTATAGCAAAAAGTCAGTACAAAGTCCACCAAAGCCAGGTGGTCCATGGATAGAACATTATCTGACATCACAGTAAAAAAGTACAATACCCATGACAAAGTATTTTAAGACAGCCTTCTTTCAAAACAGCAAGAATTTAGACTAACAGCTGGTGTCTCAAAATAAAATAATGGGAGCAAAAAAAGGGTTGGATGCTATTTTCAAGGTAGTGAAAAAGCAAATAACCACAAAACTACAATTTAATAGCTTCAAACATTCTTCAAGATTAAAAGCAAAGCAAACACATTATAAAGTAACAAAATAGAGAACTGTTCAACAGGACTGTCTGGATTAAGGGATTTCTGAACAGCACACTCAAGAAAAAGAACAAAAACAAACTAACAACAAAGAATCAGTCAGAAACAGTAAAATACTGAGAACAAAAAGGTGCCTACTACCCATCGTAACCTTGATAGCTGAGAACACTGCCGCCCAAGAGAAAGGAGTCACCAAACTAATTCCTACTATCTACACTGAATAATGAAAACAAGGTGACACTAATTATAATTTTCAAGCTGAGGTATTTTTAAATTCAGTGTCATGCTACGTTTTTCAAGCTAGTTTTTATTTTAGATTTACAGAAAATCACAAAACACTTGTTCCATTATTTTTATAAAATTTACAGTACAGAAGGCAGAATTTGTCTAAGTGTTCTAAGATAAAGGTTTTATGACAACTGAAACAAGTACCAGACTTCACATTTAAATTCATACAACATAAAAAGTCACTTTGTCAGTCAAACTAGCTACATTTCAAATATCCAAAAGCCACATTCAGCTAATAGCTACCATATTGGACAGCAACAATAGAGAACTATCTTCCTGTAGTTAAAATTACATATGAAATTTAAGTTTTAACAACTTAGTATAATAGGCCAGAAATAAACTAAATTATCTAGGATGAAAGTAATCCTGTGAGTGCATAGAAAGAAAAGTGCCACAATGCTACAAACTTTGAGTAAAAAGAAAGCAAATCTAGAAAAAAATCAAATAGCCAATAATTTTAAATGGGTCAACCTCCTTGGAGAGTCTAAATTAAAAAAACAGTGAAATGAAACATTTACTGGATACAGAAAATTGAGAAGTAACTGTTAGTGAAACTGAAGAAATAAAGAGATACATCATATACTGCTGTGGGAATAAAAATTAACATATCCAACATGGAAAAATGTTCCATAATCTCTTAAAGTTGAAGATAAACACACACAAACCAAAATACAGTTATGCGTGTTAGAATCCACGAACATGATTTTTCATAGCAGCATTATCTATACTTCCTAAAACTGAACATAATCAAAATGTTCATTAATTAGACTAAAATTGTGATTATACTATACTGTAGTTATCACACAATGAAAATACATGAAATAAAGTTAAATATACAAATGGGAAAAGCAACATGAGAATTTTAAAAAGATATAAAATAAAAAATCGATTTATGTACAGAAAAATAGGCAAAATTAATAAGTATTGTTTGGGAATTCTGCCAGGAACACACTTGCTAGAAAGAAAAGCAGTAAATAATTACTATAAAAATCCAGCCAGGACACAGCCAGGGAGAAGTGAAAGGGGGAATGTCAGGAATGAGCGGGAAGGGCCAGGGAGATGGCTCAGTGGAAAAAGCGCTTCCCTGGCAAGCGCAAGGGCCTGAATTCAATCCCCGGTTCCGTCAAAAAAAAAAAAAAAAAAAAAAAAGGAATGGGAAGAAAAGGTACTTCTCAGGACCCACGGAAGTTCTAGTGGTAGTGGTCACACAGTTCACTTCATAGTTGTTCATTTCGACTATGTGCTATGCGCTTTTCTATATACTATTTTAATGATAAGACAAAAGACCTTCAGCTTTCAAATAAAATATAAAGCATAGAATAGTTTTGATTTAATGGGACAGGATTACTGTACATAACACAAAGAAAGTAGTACTACAAAATCATGCATAACTAGGGTCCACCACCAAAACGTTGCAGGAAACAAAATGTAGAAAAGCAGGAACTTTCGGCCGGGAATATAGCTCAGCGGCATAAGCGTCGCCCGGAAAGCGCAAGGTGCAAGGTCTGGAGTTCGATCCCCAGTAGCAAAAAAAAAAAAAAGGAGAAAAATTTTAAGTTTCACACCCTAGAAAACCTACTGTACCCAATTAAATGACACACAATAGGGAACAAAAATTTTAGATTCATAAATACACATAAATTATCCTTCATGTCATCTTTGCAAAAGATAATGGAAAAAATGGAATGTTTTCAATTATGATTGTATGAAATAAATATAAAAAGAATGTACTAATCCTTCAAAGTACCTAGATAAACAAAAACCGAAAAATTGTAATGTGATAAGACTGTAGAAAAGAATGCGCTATTTAACAATAAAAGACAAAACACTTACTTAAAAAACTTCTCATCTGCCCTACAGAAAGGGAAAACGTTAACGATGCCCCTTCTCTCTTTTCTCAATCCTACAACTTAGAACCAAGAACTACACACACAGGCCCACACGGCTGAGAACGGGCAAGCACTTGATGCTGCAGCCACAGCCCAAGACCGATGGGGATATTCAACTAAAGTCTGGCCTGCCCGTTTTTTCCTCGAAGACACTACACACTTCAGACAGGTTCACGTGGGCGGACTGCAAAGCACTACACCCAGTCTGAGTGGGATGTCCGGCGAGCAGGTCGACACCCCCACCCCGACCTCTGCCTCCGCGGACAGGTGGTCCGCGGCGAGCTCCGGGACCTCGCCGGCCTCGCCCGCCCGGGCTCACAGATTCCGCTGCACTCCTAGCCTCAGGTCTGTTACAAAGCTCCCCTATCATCCCCACGCGGCGCGGGTTTCTTCGCGCTCACATCCCGGCGGGGCTGCGTCCACAGGCTCCCCGGGAGGCCGCCCAACACAGCGAGCCGCCGGGGCTCGGCCTGCCCGGCCTAGGCAAGCCTGCCCTCACCGCACTCCATCTCCCCCGCTTCCAGCCCTCCCACTCTGCGCTCGCTGTCGGCCACACTGGATCTCAGACCAACGCATTTTACCTCTCACAAAGAAGAGTCAGCTTGCAGGAAGACAGAGCCGGAATCCAGCAATGGCGGGAGCCTACTTGCGAGCTCAGCCCGCCGCGATCCGGCACAGCTTCACCTGCGTCCGCCAGCACACCACAACCACTCCCGGCATTCCCGGCGCACGCGCCGCCGCAGCTCCCAAACCCCTCCTGCCCGAGCACGTGACCTCCTTCCGCCTCTGTCCACGCCCACTTCCGCTCCTCCACTTTCCCTTAGGAGGGAGGAGGGAGTTGGGGGTGTTAAAGAGTAGCCACTTCCTCCTCCTCCCCGCCCCCGCCTGTCTACCTCCAGCTACAATGTCTTCCGGGTCGCGAGAGCCTCTGAGCCTTCTGGGAAAACATCTCATTTCCTCCCCTCCCCCTCCTCCTGCCGTCAACCAACCAGCCTCCCATCAGAGAGGGGCATGCGCAGTGAGTTTCTCCCGTCTCTTCTACCAGAACCCCCCTCCCCCCCAACCAGAGAGACCCCAGCAGCAGCAGCAGCTGATGATGAAGAGAGAGCCTGTGGCAGAGGGGGGGCACCTTTTATTTCTATTTTTAAAGAGACAGAACACTAATTTTACCCCACTTCAACCTTGAATTAAGGGAGGTGGGGGGGAAGGCGGCTGAGTTCCTTCCCCCACCCTCCAGCCCTGAGCCCTGAGAAGGGGATTGAGCTTAAGAGAGGAGAAGGAGTTTCTTCTTCTTCGAAAACCCCCATTCACGACTCCTACTCCCTCACCCCTCCACTCGCCTCCCTTCCGAGCCCCCTCCACCCTTGTTCTCTTTGGCCGTGAGAGGAGAGAAAGAGACCAAAAGCCTCTTAGCAACACAGACCTTTTGCTGCTGCTGTTACCGATACTGCTACTGCTACTGCTGCTGCTGCTGCTGCTGCTGCTGCTGCTGCTGCTGCTGCTGCTGCTGTTGCTGCTGCTGCTGCTGCTGCTGCTGCTGCTGCTGCTGCTGCTGCTGCTGCTGCTGCTGCTGCTACTGCTGCTTGGCCCTGGCTGGAGACATCTCACTACACCCAGGAGCAGCCACTTCCCCAGCTCTCCTCCTCCTCGTCCTCCTCCTCCTCCTCCTCCTCCTTCTCCTCCTCCTCCTCGTCCTCCTCCTCCTCCTCCTCCACTCCCCCCCTTTATTACCCTTTGTGTCATCCTCCACAGCTCCAGGGAAGGCACTCAAAAGTGGGGGGCAGGAAAGGTAAGTGTGTCTGTGGGGGCTTCTTCTGGCTCTGACTTTCACTCCGGGGCAACAGTGGCCCCAAACCACATACGCAGTGAAGCTCCGGGGTGAGGAGGGGGTGGTGCTGGGGGGGGGAGTGAAGAAGAGGTTGGAGTGTGGAGGGATGTGTGAGTTGGGGTGTCCATCCTGTCAGGAGAGGAAGGACACTTTTATTTTTATTTGCTGTTGTCAAAAGTGGGTTCTTTCCTCCAGCTACCATCTGATTGTGCCTTGCTCGAGTGGGGGAGAATACAAAAACAACCCCCTCCTTCCTCCAATGAGGCGCCAGGGAAAGAGATAGAGACACACTTTGTGGATGTCACTTAAAAAAATTCATTTGGAGAGCTTATTGCTTTTTCCCCAGGAAAAGCTTTACTGCATTTGTTTCTGAGTGGGAAAATGTCGGGATCTGGATTGTATTGCAACGCTTACCCATCTGTAAACCTGAGTGTTTGCCCCTTTTTGGTCCTGTATGTGATTTGGATACTGACTTGAGTGTTGGAAGGCTTGATTGTTTTTTGCGTTACCGATCTAAGTTCTCCATTTTTCGTTGTCTCACTTGCAGAGAAAATTTCCAATTTTTAGTTGATAGAGGCTTTTGGTGAGGATTTGACATAGTGCTTTTTTATGCTAAAATAATTTCTCATCTATGAGTATATAAAGTCTAAAGCACAAGATGTTTAAAGTTTAAATGCCAATGACTGGTGTTAGGTTTTCCCCACAGATGTTTCTAGTATTTATTTTCCATAAGGTAGAAATACTAGCTTTCTCATAATTAACTATGTATTTTTCTAATCTTTGTAACTTGTCTGAACAGGTAATCTCCATTGAAAACTTTATGTTGTTCTGGCTGCATGGAAGGCCTAACCTCTCCATCAATAGTTTGGTGGATTGGTACCACTTTCAGTTTTAACTGAATTATTTATTTACTGTTGTAAATTGAGATGAATTTTACATCTCCTGGGTTAATGAATCAAACTGCTTACTATATAGGAAAGTAGACAAATTTTTAAGTATGTTTTCATGAGTCAAAGAAGTCATGAACTTATAATTAGTAATATATTTCTTGAAATTACATATAAATTGGAGGGTACATCCAGATTTAAGCTTATAGAAGAACAGTTTGGATAAAAATCACTATTCTCCATTTTTACATGGTCTGTTCTTAATTCATAGCTTTCATTCAGTGCTGTATTTTATTTCATAGATGCTAGTGTGTTTCTGATGTAGGCCTTCTAGGGCTTACGTTGGGAAGTGGTATTTTATACACTTTTTAAAATCCTTTCCTTAAACCTATATGCACACATATTGCCTCTCCCTCACACACAACACACACACACAAACACACACACACACATTTTTGTCTTGTAACTGCATTGGTATCTCTGATCCCATAATTTATGTCAGTGAAAAACATTTGTCTATAAAATACCAATCTTGTGATCGGACTGGCAATATAAAAATAGCAATTTGATCAACTAGAAAGGATTAAAAAATTTAAAATCTAGAAGGATATTCAATATAAATATCATAAGTACATGATGTTTGCTTAATATTTTCTTAATAATAAAGGCAAATCATAATATACATCTTTAAGTGACAGAAGCTTTCAGTGGACAGAAATTTGTTCTGTAAAATTTTAATTATCAATTCTGTGCAAAAGTAGACATTTACACATGTGGTTAAGCTGTGTAGCAGTAAACAATATGGTCTTATTTCTCTCATTCTTGTCAAAAAACTGAATAGTTACCTTTCTCTGAAGTGTAATTGGTGCACTTAACCATGTATTTGTGCCAAGTTCAGGTTTCTATCCCAACATTAATATTACTATTCCAGAGTCACCTAAGATAATTTCTCCTCAATTTAAAACCTCAGCATTCTTAATGTAAGAGATACAAAGTAAAACTTAGTGAAGAAATCAATGTTAAGTAAGTGAATTGTGTAGATAATTGAGATAGTAATCGCCCAGTAGTCTTGTGAGTCAAATGTAGTCTTCAGTTTAATATCTACTTTCTATTGTTTCTTTGAAAATATTTCTTGTCCTATCAACCCTAGGGTAACCCTGTTATGGATGGATGATTCCAGACTCTCTAAGTTGGATGATGATTCATGCTTACAAACCCTTTTATTTTATTTGTGTTCTGATTTAGTTGTTAAGTCATAAGAACAACTGATACTTTAAGATGATAATGTTTCAACTACATACTACCTTGGCCATCACTTTATTCTCTTCTTCATTTTCCATATTCTTGAAGTTCAGAAACTTCAAAGAACTTGTCAAAAGTTCTAGTGTCTGTGGGTAGGCAGCAGATATATTACAGAACTTAGGTCTCAACACTATCATACCTACTTCATTGTCCTGTGTCATACATAATTCTGTGTATAGCTCTTAGGGGTTTTATATATGGAGGTACATTTTCTTAAAAGAATATAAAGGTAAATAATGTTAGGCCTATAATATTATCTGTTCATAGTTCAATCATTTGTTATTGATATTTTAAACAAGTGTTCATTTTCCTCATTGTGGGTTACTATTCTGACAGTTAATTTCTGTCTCTTATATTATCCCTCATGTTAATAGTTATATTATCCCTCACATATTATCCTTATTTTAATCCTCATATTATCATAGAAGAAATAGAATTCATGTCATATTAAAAATGTTTACTAATAAGTCTTGCCTTAGTGAACTACTTAAGGACAATTTGGTTTTTCTTGAAATTTGTGTCCCTCTCTTTCAGCCCAATACTTGGTGCACCCACCATAGTCCCCACTGGTTGTTTATCATATTCCAATTTTAACTTTGCAGTCAGACGTGGATTTTTTTTTTTTCCCAAATGTGAAATTTCTTTATTCTCTTCCATTTTACCTTCTTCCCTGCTATAACTTTTGGTCATGAAAGTTTTCAGTATTTTTTTTTTCTGTGTCGCTTTCATTTTTTCTAATTAACAGCCAAAATAATTGCTATTGACAATGTAGTACTCTTAAGAAGTAAAAGCTTTTTTTTATTTCTAACCCTTATGTAGGATGGGTTTGGCGAAAGTCATTTATTTTGAAATAGAAAAAAATAGCTATTTTTAAAAATAATTTTAAGTGTTTAAGAAACATGTAAATTTATTTCACTCAGTCAGTGGTAAAATGGGTTGGCATGATTGGCCTGCTTATACCAATTCTGTAAAACACCTCTTACTTAGATAACATGTTTCCCTGACTTCATTTTTTTGGTCCTTACTTAGACAATTAGCAACTTTCCTTGTGGATATGAAGATTTACTTCTAGTCATCAGTGGGATCCCGTGAAGTCAGCCAGAAAGCCTATGTCCAACATACATACCTTTGCAAACATGTCTGTATTTGGAATGTATGTGAATAACAGATTATGCTTAGCTTTTCATTAAACATCCTTGGAGCCTTTATGGTCTGTCACATATTCTATTAGGATAAAAAACAAAGGTCCCCATAATTTACTGTGAAGAAGTATTTTAAATTGTGTCAACCAGGTATTAGTCATATCTATATTTTGATTTACATAAATACTTTTTTATTAACTAGTTGGGGAAAATATGTTTAAAAGGGATATTGCTGTATTTTATTAAAATACAAAAATATAAAGAAAAAAGTTTTCATTTGCTGTTTCTGGGCATTTCTATTCTTTATATAGTTCACTAATTTTAGACTATGAAAATAGTTGTGGCTGCCATTGCTGGAATTTACTGTGCTAACCATAATTCTTTTTTTGAAGATGACCAATACAATATATTCTTAAAAAACCCTCCAAACTTCATTTTTTTATCAAAGTAACTTTGTTCTGTTTCGATTTTGTGTAACATATTATGTTTTATGGTTTACTGAAAAAACGTGTCTTTTCATTTTGAGTTTTTTTATATTTTTCCACCATAGTTTAAGCAAATCTAACAGTACAGTTTAATTTTTGTCCTATAATTAGTGTACACTTTTTGGGAGTTTTCAATTTTTAGTATGTAGATGATATGCTGTTACAAATTTTCTTATGAAACTGCCATTTTGTTTCTAAAACTATTCCAGTGTTTATACTGATTATTATATTATTGTTATTATATTAGTAAAGTAAGTTGGAATTTTCTTAGTCTGTATTTCAGACACCAGGAGTCCTGTCTCAGTTTTTGTCATAGCTTTCTGATGTAATGGAAAAATAGATTAGAAAAACTACAGCATTCACTTTACCCTCATTAATATGTACAAGGTGAGATATAAAAAAATATAGCAAACAGTTACATTCTTAAGACTTGTTTACAATAAAAGACATGTTGGTATTAATGCTCTTAAAAACACTCCCCCTCACTTTGAACATGCTTACCCTTCATTCTTGCGGCTCTCTGGAGCAGTTCCAGAAGCTCTCTTTTGTGATTATCTTTAGTTGTGCTGCCATCGCTGCTTCTATGTGCTCGATTAATCCAGAACATTTACCTTTCATAGTAGTTCATGAAATAGGACTTCCAAAACTTCTTGAAGTAGTAAGAATGAGAAGACATGTGAGGGGGAATATTTTGAGGTGGATGAATGGCAGTGTGTCTTTTACTGTAATGAGGTTTAGGTGGGGGTTTTTTTGTATTTTTTAGGGGAGGGTCTACAGGGTGTTCGGGGTCTCACTACTAGATTGGACTCATAGTGATCCACCTGTTTACAGCCTCCCAAGTGCTGGGCTTACAGGCAGGCGCCCAGTCTCGGTTGCCATCTCAGCCTGCCCCGGGGGCGGGGCCGGCAGGGCAGGACCCCGGATTGAACCCCTGGCTCCTGCTACTGCTGGTGGGCGCTTTAATCTGCTGAGCTATTTGGCTGGCCCTATAATGAGTTTTAAAAACTTAAATATTTGCTATATATTTGGTCATATGTTGTACATTTTAGGATAATGTTTATACAGTATATTGGGAAGATACACTTCTGAATGTTAAATTCTGATCTCTTTCACATTTATTTTTAGAGTTCCATTTGAGTAATAAT